TATCTATCTATCTATCTATCTATCATCTATCTATCTATCTATACACACACACACACACATACATACATACAATTAAATTAAATTAGATTAAATTTAGTTTTCAAAATTTAAAAACATAAATAAAACTTTATACATCATTATATCAATGTCAAGGCATCTTTTACATTTCCTTATCATCTTTCTATATACACATTTCTTTCACTATACAATTTCAACTTAATTTAATTTTAACAAGCTTATCTGCCTGCAACACTTGAAGGCTGCTGCTTGGTTCAGCTTTTCTGGTGATAACAGCTGGTCCCATTAGGGATTTTCAGGCAACCTGAAAGGTGTTATTTGAATTTGATACATCCCGTTTTTGTTTTTTTTCCTTTTCACAACTTCATCTGACTCATTTTTAATTACTGAAAAACTGCCACCAAGTGAATACTAGGTGTGGGCTACATCAATATTTGTCAACCTTTGCAGGTTTAAGATGGGTGGACTCCAACTCCCAGAATTCCCCAGCCAGCATGCATGGACTTCAGATCCCAAAATTGTCCAGCCAGCCTGTGTGGATTTCAGCTCTCAGAATTCCCCAGCCTGCCTGTGTGAACTCCAACTCCCAGAATTCCCTAGCCAGCCATGCTGACTGGGGAATTCTGGGAGTGGAAGTCTACACATCTTGAAGCCACCAAGGTTGAAACACACCGGCCTGTGTGAATATACTCAATTCAGCAAATCCTCTGAAGCAAAACAAAGTCCACAAAAATGCTGACAATTTGGTTTTAAAATTCCATACCTGTAGTTACTCCAAATCCAGTTTCTGCTGGTTCCTCAGTCAGAGTGTGTAACTGGCATACTCCAGTCTCTTCCACGGCCAGGTGTATCGGCTTAGTCAACAGGTACTTCCTGGAAATCATGAGGAATTATCCATGTTTTTAAAAGGTTTAAACTGGCCAAATTTAATAATATCCTGTCGTTTCCCCCCCCCCCCCCCCCCCCCCATTGATGATGTTACCTACAGTAGTTTGGTAAAGAAATATCTGCAAGAAAACCATCAAGCTCAGATCCCAAGGACCTCACAATAATTATTACAGTTTTAATCATTAGTTCTACTACAACAGTTGAACCGAATAACTGCAGATCAAGTGTCTAAGGCAGAGGTCTCCAAACTTGGCAACTTTAAGACTTGTGGACTTCAACTCCCAGAATTCCTCAGCCAGCTATGGAATTCTGGGAGTTGAAGTCCACATGTCTTAAAGTTGACAAGTTTGGGGGCCCCTGGTCTAAGGGGATGCCCCAAAGACGAGAGGGTCAAGCTATTCTCTAAAGCCACTGAAGGCAGGACAAGAAGCAACAGATTGGAATTAATCAAGGACAGAAGCAACCGAGAACTAAGGAGAAATTTCCTGACGTGGGAACAATCTGTGGAACTGCTTGCCACCAGAAACTGTGGGCACTCCAATGATACAAGAGATTGGGCAGCTATTTATTCAGAATGGTGTAGGGTCTCTTCAAGGAGCGAAGGCAGAGGGAAAAGCGATTGAGAAAATATTTCAATGTGCAGAGATGAACGGATTAACCCTGGAAATTAAAGAAAAAGAAGAAACTGAATATTATATGATATGGGATCTATTTTATGAAATGGTTAGAAAATAAAACAAGTTAAAACTGAGCGGATGAATATATAAAGAAACCAGTCAAGAGGGTTATAAGGATAATAAATATAAGAGGAAATGATTTATGATTTGCCAAGAAAATGGGATTATTGCTATATTGGTTAAAAAAATATCAATTATGATTGTTAGCACAAGATATATGTATCCAGTCGACACACTGCATGAATGAAAGGTGGAATTATTGTAACTATTAAAAAAATAAAATAAATTTTTTTTGAGGGGGGGTGGGAAGGAGCCAAGGTGGAGAAACAATGACATGTAGATGATGTAAGAGGACGTATAAGGAGATTGTTCCTACTGGTTGGTTTTAGTTTCCACCAGAAGCCACCGGTCTTCGGCCACTAAAAAAACTGACTTGAGACTGATGGGCAAAGAGATGGTGTGGGCATTGCCTTCCAGGACATCCATAACGATAAGGTAGTTCCTGAAAGATAAAATGTTAAAAAAATTAGGTCTCAGGACAACCTCAGGATGCTTCTGTAAGCAAAGAAGAAGAAAAAAAAGGAATTTATTCTTACCCTTCCTCTTTGTAGAAGACCAGCCAATTCTTATGTGCAAATTCTTTGCACATTTTGTGAGTCGTCTTCTTTCAAGGGTAGGTCGACAGGCGGAGAAGGAAAAAAAACCAAAAATAATGAATTGCAATTCTTCGGCCAAACTGTCAAAATTCACCAAAACTCTTGGTTACACATGGAGACTTTGCAAGTTCTAGGAAAAAGTTCTTGATGGTCTAACATGGAGGGGAAAAAATATCCACTCCCACAAATGCTAAGATCAATTCCTATTCTCTGTGCTAAATAAAACACAGGTAGTTCTCGACTTACAATAGTTTCATAACCCAATTAGGTAACATCATCAGTGTTCACTGATATGCACTAGAGTAGTTTGGTAATCAAATATCTTCAAGAAAACCATCACATTTAGATCCCAGGGACCTCACAATAATTACTACTGTTTTTAATAATTAGTTCTACCATAAGTGAACTGAATAATTGCACAACAAATATCTAAGGGGCTGCCACAAAGAAGAGAGGGGGTCAAGCTGTTCTCCAAAACACCTGAAAGCAGAACAGGAAGGAATGATGGAAACTAAGCAACAAACAACCTAGAACTCAAGAGAAATTTCCTGACCGTGAGAACAATCAGTCAGTGGAATGGGTTGCATCCTGGAGTTGTAGGTGCTTCAACACTGGAGGCTTTTAAGAAGAGACTGGTGGACAACCTAATTTTGTCTGAAATTAGGCTCTCCTGCTTAAGCAGGGGGTTGGACTAGAAGACCTCCAAGGTCCCTTCCCACTCTGCTATTCTGTTCAATGTGATTTCTCAAATCTGGGTGCCAGTGGACCACAACAAGGCCGTGTTTTGCCTTCCCAAGAGTCCAGACGCCTCCCCCGGGCCTCTGGGAGGGAGAAAATGGCCACCCCTGGGTTCTGGAGGCCCACCAGAAGCCAGAAACAGGCCCGTTTCTGGACTTCTGGAAGGCCCATTTTTCTCCCCCCCCTCCCCCAACGACCCTCCGCACAGACGGTGTACTTACCTGCATCACGTGGAGACTCCTAAGAGGGGTGGGTGGGGCCAGCCGGCCGGTTGAAATACCGGTTCGGCGAACCAGGTGTAACTTTAACGTCCGGTTCGCCTGAACCGGTGCAAACCGGTAGAATCCCGCCCCTGGCTGCAAGTCGAGAACTAGCTCTATTCCTGCAGGATGGATAGTCTATTGTGATGTCTTACCTCCTCCGCTTTGCCTCCCCACCACGATGCTCCTTTCCGCGACGCCGGGATATCTGGTAACAAGGTGAGACGGCTTACGGCCCCCGTGTTCGTGTCCAGCAATAAAACAATGTGATTCTATAAGAAAAAAAAAAGGGGGGGGAGAGAGGATAATTCTACATACTGTAGAAGAGCTGCAGAGGTATATGTGTCCTCAATGACCCCTCTCACTTGAGAGTAATTCGACGCATTTCGGAACTGAGGGTGAATTTTGATGCACCAGAAAATGCTGTTTTTTTCCCCTTCAGCAACATTTTTGTCGTTGTGCAGAGTTCACTGAAGGGTGCGGAAAGTCCATTGTTGTGGCCCGCCAGCAGCTGACGGAGCTAGCAACAGAGTCGGACAGTAGTGAGGAGGTTGGGGAGGAACCTGGGCCAGTCTTGATGGCTGAGGAAGGCTCGAACGAGGGCTCTGCATCGGAGGCAGAGATGGGGCCAGGGCAGGCTGGCAGTCATCAGCTACCTTCGGGCTCGGACAGCAGTTGAGGCGGGGGAGCTTCTGGAACCGGTTCCCACCCTGCGCATGCGCAGAGATGCCAAAACGAAGGCACAATTAAGGACTCAGGGTCGAGTTGGGAGCAAGGCCACAGGTGGACGATGAATGGCCCCCTCCCATCAGGATTAAAAGAGGAGCAAAAGGGGATCCATATTTGCAGGAAACAATTCGCTCGTTCGGTCATGTGTTTGTTCCAGCTTTCTGGATCTTGGTCTGTAAACCCAGCCTTCCTTGCCAACAGTGAGTGTGGAACTAGTTTACCAGGCAGCATTCCAGGATTGATAACAATCTGAGATAATTAGTCCACCTTTGGAAAAATGTGTGCCAAGCTGTTGGCTGACTGTGAACGAACTACTTCACATTATTGTAAATAAGGAGGTTTTTGCCAGGACTCAAAATTGACTGAGTGCTTTTGGGTGAGGCCTAGGCAGGGGTGGGTTTCAAAAATTTTAACAACCGGTTCTGCGGGCGTGGCTTAGTTGGTGGGCATGGCTTGGTGATTATGTGACTGGGTGGACGTGGCTTGGTGGTCATGTTATTGGCTGGGTGTGGCCAATTCAATGTCACTCACATCGAGGCACGCATCTCCTCGCCTGGCCTCTCATGACTGTGGGGATGCTGCAACAGTCGTAAGTGTGAAAAATGGTCATAAGTCACTTTTTTCAGCGCCATTGTAACTTTGAATGGTCACTCCACACAAGCAAAGTACCAGCAAAGGAGGGGAAAAAAAACCCAGAGAAGTTCCTGAGACAGGAAATGTAGTCCTGCTAAGAATGTAATAAGGGTTAACAGAGAGGCAGTTTCTGTAAGCAACACCAGAATGTTTCCTTCCTGCCTTCCTTACAGGATTACGCCAGTAATTTCTTCTAACAACCGGTTCTCCAAACTGCTTAGAATGTTAACAACTGGTTCTAGCGAATAGGTGCGAACTGGTAGAATCCCACCCCTGGGCCTAGGACAGAACATCCATATTTGATTTTCTGCAGCCAAGCGGGGCCTGTCCCCACATTCCTAGGGGGAGCCACAAATCATAAAGTGCAGGCAACGGGCTGGATCCAGTGCAGTTTAATTTCAATTTTTCACCGTTTTTAAGGGAAGGATGTGTAAAGGATTTTACTCTAAGCCTACAGCAGGTGGGACACAGTTAAGAGAGGCAGTTTGGTCTAATGGTTAAGGCAGCAGGCCGGAAAGTGAGAGACTGTGAGTTCTAGTTCTGCTTTAGCCATGAAAGCCAGCTGGGTGACTTTGGGCCAATCACCAGTAGACTGGGAGTTCTAGCTCCACCTTAGCCATGCGAGCTTGGGCCAATCACCAGGAGACTGGGAGTTCTAGTCCCGCCTTAGCCATGCGAGCTTGGGCCAATCTTCTCCAATCTTCTCCACCCTTGGGAGAAAAAACCCCGCAGAGAGGAGCCTTGTGATGTAGGCAAGAGTTCTTGCATCCGTAATGAGCCAATTTGTTCCTCGGATTTTCAATCATTCTTTGGATCGCACAAAGAAACATCATTTGGTCTCCAGCATCACTGCTGGGACGAGAGCGATGAGTTCATCCGAGTGAATTTGAATAGCACCTCACAAGATTCCCATAACAAAGCCAGGCTTTATGGAAAAGGAACCGCGGGAAGAAAATGACATGGATTACCTCCTCCCTCCCTTCCTTCCTCCCCTCCCTCCCTTTTTCTTTCCTTTCTTCTTCCTTCCTTCTTTCCTTCCTTTCCTCTTTCTTTCTCTTTCTTTTTCTTCCTCCCCTCCCTCCATTTTTCTTTCTTCTTTTTCCTTCTTTCCTTCCTTTCCCCTCTTTCTTTCTTTCTTTCTTTTTCTTCCTCCTCTCCCTCCATTTTTCTTTCCTTTCTTTTTCCTTCTTTCCTTCCTTCTCTTCTGTTCTTCCTCATTCCATTTTCCTTCCTTCCTCCCCGCTTCCCTTTTTCTTTCCTTTCTTTTTCCTTCCTTTCCTTCCTTCCTTTTCTTTTTCCTTCCTCCCCTCCCTTCCTCCCTTTTTCTTTCTTTTTCCTTCCTTCTTTCCTTCCTTGTCTTCCTCCTTCCTTTTCCTTCCTTCCTTCCTCCCCTCCCTCCCTTTTTCTTTCTTTCTTTCTTTCTTTCTTCCTTCCCTCTCCCTCCCTTCCTTTCCTTTCTTTTTCCTTCTTTCCTTCCTTTCCCCTCTTTGTTTCTTTCTGTCTTTTTCTTTCTTTCTTTTTCTTCCTCCCCTCCCTCCCTTTTTCTTTCCTTCCTTTTTCCTTCCTTTTTTGCTTCCTCCCCTCCCTCCCTCCCTTTTTCTTTCCTTTCTTTTTCCTTCCTTCCTTCCTCTCCTCTCCTCCCTCCC